ATCTGGTTCAGGGCAGCATCTCTTTGCTGAAATTGGTATTCCATCAATTCCTGGGGCCTTATTTTTTTGCCAATTCCTTCAAAGCAGCTTGACCTTTCTTTTTCATCACCATTGCCTCTTAGTCATATGTTGTTTCATGAAATTATTCTGTGTCAGCCAATTCTTTTTGGTATAGTGACTCTGTGTACTTCCATCTTCCTTTGATGCTTCCTGCAACGCTCTGGCCTCAGCATCTTTAAGTATTGCAACTCGAGGCTTAAACTTGTTCTTCAGTTCCTTTGGCTTAAGAAAATGCTGAATAAGTTTGTCCCTTTTGATTTTCCAATTCCAGTTCCTTGCACAATTCATTACAATACTTTGCTTGTCTTCCCAAGCTGCCCCTATAAATCTTTTGCCCATCTTCTTAACTTCCATAGTTTAAAATTAAGAAGGGCGTGTATTAGGGTTGTATTCTCTATACCTGTTTAATCTATATGCTGAGCAAATTATTTGAGAAGCTGGACTTTGTGAAGAATGTGGCATCAAGATTGTAAAGACTAATCAATAACCTGCATTATGCAGATGTCACAATCTTGCTTGCTATAAATGAGAAAGACTTGAATCACTTGTTGCAGAAGATCAAAGAATACAGCCTTCAATATGGATTGCATCTCAACCAAGAAAACAGCAATTCTACCCCTGGTCTTATAGGCAATATCATGATAGATTGAAAAAAATTGAAACTGTTAACAACTTCATGCTGGATCTACATCAACACCTTGACATTAGCAGTCAAGAAAGCAGGAGTTGTATTGCACTGAGTCTGCAGTCAATGACTTCTCCAAATTATTGAGGAGCATTGATGTCAGTTTGAAGACTAAGGTATATCTGATTCAGGCTATGGTCTTTCCAATCACCTACTATGAACCTTAGATCTGGACAGTGAATAAAGATAGAAGAATTGATGTATTTGAGCTGTGGTGTTGGAGAAGAGTACTGAGCATCCCATGGACTGCCAAAAGAACAAATATGTCTTGGAGTAGGTGCAGCTAGTACTCTTTAGAGGCAAAGATGATAAAGCTTCACTTCATGTACATCAGGCATGTTGTTAGAAGAGGCTATTCCTTAGAGAGAGGAATCATTCTTGGAAAGGTAGAAGGTCTGTGAAGGAGAGGAAGACTGTCAACCAGTTGGACCGACACAGTGATTGCTGCAGTGAGCTGTAGTGTGTCAGGAAGTGTGTGGATGGCACAGGATAGGACAGGGTTCTGTTGTTCATAGGGTCACTATGGATCATACTAGACTAAACGACACCTAACAACAAGAAGAACCAGTGGAACCCCTGAAAGTATAGCACTTAGCAACCCTTTGAGCCTGGAATGAAATTCATCCCTGTGGTTTAATTCTTAAGCCTATAAAGGTGAACAATAGCATGAAGGAGGAACTCATTCCTTAGAACAAGGTCAAGAGCCATATTTGCCTATGGCTAAAATTCAGAATGATAGAAGAATGAATGGAAATGAGAATTACAGGGAGAAAATGCTGCTCAATGTGGGAGTTATAATTACTGTCACAGCACAAAGTTATGTGTGAATGATTGAATGGAAAATCAATTTGCTCTGTCAACTTCAAAGTATAATAAAGGAGTATATTTTGAAAATTGTTATAAGTAGCTATAGGAATCTATTTGTCTGGCTCAAGAGAGCAAGAAAGAACCAGCAATCAGAGAATGAACCAGACTACAGAACTAACCATGTCCATGAACCACAGCCACCTCTCCCTTGAGAATAGAACTGGAGGTTGCCCAGTCACTAACATCCATATTCTGGTCAGGAATACCACAAGTGGATCATGACAGAAAGGGAAGAGAGGTAGGAGAGAATGTCACTTTTAAAGAATGTTGGGGTTTTTGTTTTGTTTTATAAAATGTTTATTATTTTTTTATGTGTGTACCATCAAATCGGATCTGACTGGTATAGGAAGAGATTGTCCCTCCTTCTTCAGCAGAGCATCTGGTGGATTCGAACCACACACCTCTGGGATTGCAGTGCAGCTTCTTGCCAAGAATGTTGTTATGTGCCGTTGAGTCACTTGAGACTCATAGTGACCTTATGTACAAAAGCCCTGACCCCGGCTCTATCCTGAGCCAACTTCATTGCCTCTGATACACCTGTCCCCATTACCTGTGTCACTGAGTCAATCCATCTCATCCAGAGTCCTCTTCTCCTGCCCTGAATTAAAAAACAAAACAAAACAAAAAAAAAACCAAAAAAACAACTGGCTTAATGGGCCCATTGATATAGGAGAAATTCTCAAAATTGTTAATCTTGAAGTAAAATTATTTTTTGCAGGTTAAAAGTAGTATTTTTACCAAATAGATTGTTGTTGTTGTTGTTATGTGCCGTCGAGTCGTTTGCGACTCATAGCGACCCTATGCACAGCAGCCCTAAACCCTGCTCTATCCTGCACCAACCGCACTGCCTCTGACACTCCCATCCCGATTACCCCAGTCATCTAATTAATACATCTCATAGAGGGTCTTCCCCTCCTGAGCTGTCCCTCCACCCTCCCAAGCATGATGTCCCTCTCCAAGGACCTGTCCCTCCTTGCAATGTGTCCAAAGTATGTCAGATGAAGCCCCAGAATCCTTGCCTCCAGGGAGTAGCTTGGTTTAATCCTCTCCAAGATGAATCTGTTTGTTTTCCTGGCAGTCCATGGTACATTCAGTACTCTTCTCCAGCACAACAGCTCAAAAGCATCCACTCTTCTTCTGTCCTCCCTAGTCATTGTCCAACTCTCTGATGCATAACAAGCTATTGCCAAGACCATGGCCTGTATCAGGTGCACCTTAGTCTCCAGAGAGACACTGTTGCTCCTGAGTACTTTAGAGAGGTCCCTAACAGCAGACTTTCCCATTGCAATACGCTTTTTGATTTCCTGACTGCTGGTGCCAAGAGTGTTGACTGTGGAGCCGAGCAAACTGAAGCTGTGAACACTCTCAATCTCTTCGTCATCCATCCTGACGCTGCCAATTGGTCCAGTGGTGAGAATCTTTGTCTTCTTGACATTGAGCCTCAGTCCATACTGAAGGCTGCAGTCCTTGACCCTTCGCAGCAAGTGCATGAGGTCCTCCTCAGTTTCAGCAAGCAGGGTTGTGTCATCTGCATAATGCAGATTGTTACTAGATCTTCCACCAATCCTGATGCCACAATTCTCCTCATAGAGCCCAGCCTCTCGGATAATCTGCTCTGCATACATGTTGAAAAGGTATGGAGACAGGATGCATCCCTGGCACACACCCTTCCCTATTTTGAACCATGCAGTGTTACCCTGCTGTGTTCTGACTACTGCCTCTTGGTCCAAGTATAGGTTTCGCATTAGCACAATTAAATGTTCTGGGATTCCCATTCTTCTCAGAGTCAGCCACAGTTTGTTATGATCCACACAGTCAAATGCCTTTGCATAATCAATGAAACACAGATAGACATTCTTCTGGTAGTCTCTGCTTTCAGCCAAGATCCATCTAACATCAGCAACAATATCCCTAGTACCACAACCCCTTCTAAACCCAGCCTGGACTTCCGGCAGTTCTCTGCTGATGTGCTGTTCTAATCATTTGTGGATAATCTTCTGTAGAATCTTGCTTGCATGTGAAATCAATGACACTGTTCTGTAGTTTCCACACTCAGTTGGGTCACCTTTCTTTGGAATGGGAACAAATATAGATCTCTTCCAGTCAGTTGGCCAAGTGGTTGTTCTCCAGATTTCTTGGCACAACTTGGTTAGCTTATAAAATTAAGAATGTCACCCTTTAGTACTCCCTCTTTTTAAAAAACTATGAGGAGTTCTGGTGGCCTAGTCCATAGGGTGTTAGGCTCATTCAAAGGTGATGCCTCTCTGTCTGTTCAAATCCAAGAGCGGCACAAGAGAAAGTGGGGCACTCTCCTCACATGCAGTTTACAGCCTCTAAAACCTGCTGGAGGTCAGTTATGAATCAGTTCTGGCTTGACAGCAGTTGAGAGGTATCTACAAAGAAGCAACAGTTGCTGTGGTGTATAGATGAGTTTGGCAGCAGTCAGATTAAGTGAACAGGAGTGAACCAATTAGAATGGAAAAAAATGAGAATGTCTGAATGTATGAAGAGTGCAACACATTGCCAGTATTACTGAACAGTATGTGTAGAAATTACTGAATAGCAGATTTTACTGTGCATATTTTCACCAAAAATGCAATAAAATATTAAAAATAAGCTAACTCAAATCATACTGCTTGGCCTTCTCCCCTGTCTGATCTCCTATCTTAACAGCCTGTGAAAGATACAATCATTTACAATTTTACCTGGTTAGCATCTGTCTTTGTCTTCCTCCTAGTCTGGCTATAAGTATTCTGATGGTGCTCAATTAAAACTTGCAATTCTTCTAAGTGGCACAGCACTCTTCTGTCAATATACTGTCCTGATGTAACCTGGGGTTGCTGTCATGCTGAACTTTATGCCATAGGGGTGTCAAATGCCCTAACGGTTACCCATGGTGGACAGTGTTCGGTGGAGCTCCCAATTTAAGACAGGTTTGGAAGCAGGAGTGGTATCCGCTTCCTAAACCACATGCCTCTGGAAACTCTATGAACTTTGATGATTGTCCATAGTTATAGAAAGGCTTCAGGCCTTTTGTTCATAGGTTTGCTATGAGTCGTACTTGACTCAAAGGCAATCAACAACATGAGTGTATTCACCTCAGAAGTCAAGTCAAAGTGCAAAGACATTCATTGAGAAATCACAGTAACTGCTTTAATGTTAAAAAATTTATTTTTTTTCTAACATATCACACAAAATTTGGGAAGACACAGAGGCATGTCAACTAGCCCTCATCAAAATTTGGGCTGAAGAAAGAAAAAGAGCTGCCTAAAGGGATCTGGTAGCCAGAGAAACTGCAGAGATCAAGACAGCCTGGCCAACAGAACCACCGTGTGGGTCAGCTGTATTCACAAGCACCTCTTGGTGCAGTGGGGACAGTAGAACGTCAGCCCTAGACATTCTTCCTCTCCTGGAAGGGAAGCAGACGCTCACTCCTTAGACATGTTCTTGATGGTTTTGTGCTCCTTCATGGTCTTTTCCCAATCACTGCCATTGAACTCCTCGATGACCACACTTCTCACAGTGCCCTCATCCAGGCAATGTGGGGCAATACCTAGAAAGACATTTACAGACATGAGTAAATCTAGACATTCTGTTGGCTACAGACAAACCTCTCCGGTAAGCCCCATCCCGCTATATATAGGTGTTCTGAGTTAGACCTATAGCTTACAGCTTAAGGTTTCTGACTTCCTTTCCTCATCTGTCAGATGGGGACCAGACATCTGGAACCACTGATGGACTAAGGCTGGGCATCACTCAATACCAAGCTGTAATGTAGTAGTAGGTGGTAGTGGGAACAGTAGGACAGTAGGCAGGCTGAAGCCAAGAGCAATCTCTGCCAGTCTTAATAACTGACAGGCTGTGAATTAGATAAATAATTCTGTTTAGAAAGACAGCTTCCTAAAAATCAAATACTCCCTATTTAGGTAAGATTTTGCATTTTTCATAATTCTAATCCACAAAGAAATCAGATAAGAAACAAAAAGAAGTGGCTAAAAAAATGGGACAGCAGGGACAAGGGTACCAAGAGTCTACCTTCTTCCATCATAAGGCATAATTACACTGTCCCAGTCACAGTCCCCACCTCAGCTCAGGAGATGCCTTTCCCCACTAGTTCAACCACTAGTTTTCACTCAATTCACACAAAACTTCAAACTTCTCAGTACCTATTTAAGGGCTGTTTATTATGGCTTTTCCAGATTAAAGCAGGGCCTGAAGGAGGACCTGGATGTTCTGCTTGGTTTTTTTTAAAAAAAACTAATTTTTTTTTTTAAAAAAGGCAATATCTAGGCTCTTCATTTTTGCTTCCTTCACTCTTTAACCCCAGGCATTATGAAAATTGCATCCCCCAACTCTACAGGACTATCTCCCTCTACTTTCTACCCTTCAACATTGACCAAGTGGCTTAGAGTTTGGTAGCACATGGGAGACACAGAACCTGTTGTCAGAAACAGATTTCACAGGTTCAGCCATGAAATTGAGATGGCTTGCCTGGAGCCACCTGGACAGAGTTCCATTGAGGAATCCTATTCTCAGATACGCCTGTGGAAGTACCCAGTAAAGCAGTTATCCATTCACATCCATTCCTATCCTGCTGACCACTTATTTTAAACCTACACCAGCCACAGTCTCCCGAGCCCCACCTTTACTCACCATAGCCTCCAGGGTTTGAGCGGGGAGTATAAAAGCTCTGAACACCACACTTCTTACAGAAGGTGTGCCGGGCTTTGTGCGTGTTGAACGTGTATGTGGTCATGCTCTCAGCTCCCTATGTGAAAACAAATAAGTGTTCTCTTTTTATTAAGATCTTGTAAATAATACATTTTATAAACCAGATCTTTTTTGCAAGGCTTAATATGTGCCAGCCACCCTCCAACAGACACCCATTCAGGGCTTTAAGTAGTTTCAAAACACTTCTGAGTTGACCAGAACCCAACTACATGAAGCGAAGATGTTTTCATGCTATTGTCTACTGCTGTAGTCTAAAGACAGCATGCTCTGAACTGGACTTTGCCTAGAAGCAGATGCTCAAGGTTCCAACTGGAACAGAAGATTCATCAAAGGAACATGCTTTGTTTCCTCAGTACTGGTTTGATATGTATGGGGGAAATTAGAAATTGGCTATCTATGAAGGAGATAAAGGCATGAGGCATGATGTAGCCAGCTTACTAATTTTCAAGAATATGTTGTTGTTGATTGCCTTCGAGTCAAGCACGACTCATTGCAACCCTATGAACAAAAGGCCTGAAGCCTTTTTATAACTATCAACATTTATCAAAGTTCATAGAGTTTCCAGAGGCATGTTGTTTAGGAATTGGATGCGAGAAGGAAGTTAATCCTTCAAATAGGAATGCTGGTGGCTAGAAAACTAGGGACTGACATGTGGTATTGTTCAAAAGATGCTCAAAACTAGGTGTGAATCTGATGGTGAATAAATTAATCTTTATGAGATTGATCAATTGTTCCCATCCCACCAAGTTTAAATTGAACAAGTTTAGCAGCAAAGGTGGGAATCTCACTAACAGCAAAGAAGAGAAAGTAGAGAGTGCAACATGAGGTCAGAGATTCTTGCATCAGTTAGACAGAGACCCGCATGGGAGCAGCAGTAGCCTCAGCTCAGAACCAGAGCCCCCTGTGAGGCAGAGCTGATTGGGATTGCTGTCCCACAGAAGCAAGGCCAGGGGGCTTTGCCCAGACCTGCTGTGAGGCAAGATTCCCTCACTGGCAGGCCTAAGGTGCCCATCTATCCAACCAAATCTCTTACCCTAACCTAACCCGACCATCCAACCACAGTGGCCAGTTTTAGCTGCTCAAATATTCCAAACTTATGTCCCTTAAATTTTCTGCATTATTTGCCTAGGATATACCTCCTACTTACACCTTCCTCCTGCCCATATATGTAACCATTTTCATCATTCACATCTAAACACTGCAGTCAGCCTTCCTTACTCAATCTAGTCCCCAGCACCTTCCTGTCATATTAGTGTACTTTCGTTCCCCACTGTTTGGGATTTTTCCTTATCTGTTCCCCATCTCTGCAGAATGTAAGCTCCAAGAGAATGAGGGCTTTGGCAGTCACACTAACTGTTGAGCTTCAACACTGAGAACTGTGCCACGTGGTGACCAGGAACCACCCACTGCCAAGTCAATTCTGAGTCATGGCAATCCTACATGTGTCAGAGAGGTGCATGCCACAGGGTTGTGTATCGAAAGGAGGTCACCATTACCAGACCTTTCTTCCTAGGGTCCTCTGAGTGGACTAAAACCTTCAAGCTTTCAGTGAGCAGCCAAGTCATCACACAGCAAGTCCCTGCCATTGGGTCACTGAACCTTTGCTGTCTCTGTGTCTGTTCTACATTGTCACCAGTGGAGACTTCCTGTCTTTTGCCCAAGAAGCAGGTCTTGGATTTGCAGCCCTGGAGCAGCTCAGTCTTTGGACTCATTGTGGACTACACTACCAAAATCCTAACAGGAGAAGATAGTGTAGCTTTCTCTCACCGAGCCACTGGTGGATTCAAACTGCTGGAGAGGTGTAGCCTTTGAGTTAGCAGTGAAACTTCCTACTGACTGCACCACCAGAGCTCCTGTTAACACACAGTTAAATGCACTCACATCTTTCAAGTTGGAACCAACTCATCGCTGACCTTCTACTGTGCTTCCAGTGCAGTAAATCACATAGGAGGAGACTGCCCACCTTTCTCTCATGATACCCTGCTTGATTTAAGCCACCAGAGAGCTGAGACCTTTGATGTGGCATCATGGCTCCCTATGGATTATGCTGCCAGAATGCCCTGGAATTGCTGTGTGCTTTCAAGTCACAACTGATCTTAGATGACCCTTCAGCAGGTTTTCAGAGGCAGTGATTCCCACAGGAGGAGACTGCTCATCCTTCTCCTGGGAGCAACTGGTGAGTCCTAACAGTGTATCCTTGGGATTGCAGCACAGCAGCTTATCATGAGGCCACATATTTTTCTTGGGACAGTCATTTGTCCTTTACTTGCTAAGTGAAAAATTAGGTTTTGAACTTAAGCTTTAAAACATACAAACAAGAAATGGCTCCTTCAACAGGCTGGGGCTGAAAGTGAGAATGGTGTTCTACAGCACCTGAAAAGTATACTGATTAGCAGACCCAAGGAGAATTTTTTTTTAAAGTGCAAGGGACAAGGGAAATTAAGCATCAGTTCAGAGATTGCCCTGATGGTGTCTTCAGGAGAGTCTGGCAAAGGTGTTTAGGAGCAAAGGTGAACTGAGACTACAGCCACCAGAAGACACAGAGCACCATACCAGTTGTCTGAGAGCCTTTCAGGAAAGAAAAGGAATTGGCAGGCTGCCTCCCCTCTAAACATCCCACCTACAGTCAGCATGTTTCAGAGCCAAAATGAAGACAAATCAGCGCATTTGGGATTCAATCTCACTTACTCAGAGAGGCCAGCACTCAGATAGGCATTCTTCCTGCTAGTCCTGTCTTCCAGCTCCAACTAGGGCCTAATCATGGTCAGATGATCCAGGAACTAGCTCAGACTTGTTAAAAGAGAGTGACCCTTGTCTTAGAGACATTCACAGAGATGAGAGCCATGGAATTACAGTACAGACACAAGCAAATCTATCCCACCATGACAGGGGCAGAGGAAGGAGGGATAGCATTAAATCCCCACTCCCAGTAACATTATCAATAATATACCAGCAGTATTTTTTTGTTCTTAAATACTGTTTGACCTGAAGACTTTTCTTTCTATTTGTCAAAGATTTAGACACAGGGAAGACTACTGTTTGTAACTGGAATAAAATTGAGGCTCAACCTTGAAGTCCTGGGAATTTATTTGTGTCTCATCATATAATAAACTAAGCTGCAAATATTTCTCATTTATAAACATGGTGAACCTCCAAAGACTAGGTCATTACATGAAAATCAGCACTAAATGAAAATGGAAGATGATGCAGCATGAGTAAGTACATCATCACACAAGTGTCGAGCCCCTAAGAATCACAGGCCAGCCAAGGGCCCCTCTGGGAACCACTAACCTTGACAATCATAGTCAGTTAGACTCATAGTTAGACTTGTTACTACCAGAAGTATTGTTTGTGTATGTCCAAAATATCTGGACAGGTTTTTCTACTATTGTTATAAATACTAATGTTGGATATGAACAAATGATAAGCAAGTGCAGAGAATGATGGTTTAAGTAAATGAGGAAAATGGTTGAAGGAGAGCAAAATTGGGTGGCTACCAAGGAAAAAGATATCTAGGAAGAGCCAGTTTCTGACAACACTGATGAAACACCTCAGCAGACTGGCAAGGTGAGAATATCAATATATAGCTGAGGGAGAAATGCCATTTTATTGAGTTCTTTATTTATCAACCAAATGTTAAGTTCATAGGGTCGCTATGAGTTATCTATGAGCACTTAACAGTAACAAACAACAGTTAAGGTTCCAATCCTTGGGAAAAGACATCATGCTGAGAGATGTGGAAGGCCAGAGAAGAAAAGATGATCAACATGATAGACTGATATGATGACTGTAACAATGGGCTCGAGCATGTATTGGACTGTGGGGCTTGTGTAGGGTAGGAAAAGGGTTAGATCTGTTCATAGAATTGATGTGAGTCATAGAGAGCACTCTGTAGGCCTATTGGATAGAAAGTTATGCTACCAAGCTAAAGGTGGGTGATTTTAATCTATGGTCCTCAGCATACTTCTAAGTGGTATAGCACTGGTCTGTGCATTGCTGTACAGAGGTAACTCGTGGTTGCTGTGATGCTAAACACTGTAACACTGATATGTCAAATGCAATAATGGTTACCCATGGTGGACAGTGTTTGGTGGAGCTCCCAGATTAAAACAGGCTTGGAAGCAGGAGTGGCATCCACTTCCAAAACAGCTTGTCTCCAGAAACTCTTAGAGAAATGATGGAAGTTATACAAGTGTTCAGGTTCATAGGGTCACTATGAGTCATCTACAACTTGATGGCACTTAATAACAAGGGAGTAGAAAAAAGACTTTCCTGTGTGCACATACTTTTGTACTAACTTTAAAAAATTTCTCCAAAATAATAACGCTAAAATTGAAAATTTTTAAAAAATAATTTTTCATGGGAAAATGATCTGAGTGGGTTATAAAACAGAGAGAGTCGTAAACTCCTACTTTGGTAAAATATATTTGTCTGTGTAGGAAATAATCTATAAAGACAGATGCCAAAACATTAACAATTTCAGTGGTTGGTAAGATTTGGATGATTTTACTATTTTTTTTTTTTGCTTCTGTATTTTAAAGTGTTCGTATTACATAAAACACATAAGCAAAACCAAAACATGAAGAGAAAAATGGAATCTAGGTAAAGAAAGGAGATAAGCACCCAGGCAGATCTTTGCGCTAGCACTGAGAGCACAGAAAGCATCCCTGGGCTCACACAGCCCCACAGGCATCGAGCTGCACACCTCAACTCTGCCCTTACACACTAACCTTCAGGAGCTTGAAGCGAGAAGCTGGGACAATGAAGTGTCTGTTCTGCTTCTTCTTGCAAATGCTACAGCTACAAAAGAGACAGAGCAAATTCTAGATTATGAATAGCCATCTGTATCTTCTTATGCTCAAGAGTCCAAGCCTGATGTGTTCCAAGAGCTAGCTGACCCCACAGCCTGCCCACAGCTACCAGAGAAGGAGGCACTCAACAAATGGGTCAGTATCTGAGTCCCTGCTCAATACTTGCAGAAGAGTGACAGGTCCCCAGGCCAGCAGCTGAAGCCAGTCACCGAAGACCTGCTGGGTCACTCTCCACCCTCAGAGAGAAACTGCTGCTGATGGTGGGTTAGGATGGGCACAGAATGAAGACTCCAGTAGAGCCTAGAGTGGAAGTCTAGAGCAGAAGATGGGGAGTCTCCTGTGCAATTTACAGCCTCTGAAAAGCCCACTGGAGGGTCAGCTATGGGTCAGTTCTGACTCAACAGCACACAACAACAGCAGCACAACTCCTCTTTTCAAATTCTCTTTTAATGTAGATCTTCTAACAAATTATTCCATGATGCAGCTTCTCCAATCTGGAATCTGCTCCATTTGAGTAATCCTATGGTATTGACTTCCTCTCCTTTGCAGACCCTCCATCTCTGAAAGCATGGTGTCCTCTTGTTGTAGCACGACCACTGGGCTCAAATGTGTCAGGGATGTCGAGGATGACACGGGATAGGCCAGGGTTCAGATCTGTTGTTCATAGTGTCACTGCTGAGTCATACTTGACAGCACTTGACAATTACAACAAAGGGTTTTTACTTATTATTGGTGTCTAAGTCAAGTACTACTTAGGCAGAAAAATGTCAGTACAGTTGAACAGTTGGATTCTATGCCAACTACTAGCCCAGAAGTGAGAGCCTGTCTTCCTTGTTCTACCTCAACACAAGGAAAGTGCTAAGAAGCCAGTCCTCCACATGGACTGTCACATCTGCTTTATTAGAGGAACAGCAGGGTAGCTGAGGGCATGGAGAGCTTCCGGGGACACAACTCTCTTCTCACCCTTTTCCACTCTTGTTGTGTGCTGTCAAGCCGGCACCAACTCATAACCCCAGTGGGTTTTCAGAGGTTGTAAATCACACAGGAGATTGCCCATCTTCCACTCCAGGTTTGTATAAAATCTCTGTCGGAGCCTTTTCACTCTGTGCCCAGCCCAAGCAAGCTCTAGCTAACTAACTCTCCACCCCACCAGCAGCAGTCTCTCCCTGAGTGTGGGGAGTGACCCACAAGGCCTTGTGCCACTTGGGATAGTGCTGCAGGAGTGAGCTCCATGGGATCTCCTGTGTGCGCACACACACGTGCTTACACACAAAGCAGACTCTGTTATTGTGAATGTTCCCTCCAACATTTTTAAAGAGAACAATGAATCCTTACACAACCTGACTTCAACAGTTACCAACTCAAGGTCAGTACCATTTTGGCTGTATCATAATTCCAGAGTATTTTGAAGCATTTCCTTTTAACTAGAAATGTTAGTTCAAGCTGGCAGGAGAAAAGGACTCACTTGCAGTCAAAGATATGCAAGTCAGCTGAGGCCCAAACTTCAAAGCGAACTGCTCCACAGTGGCAACCACCGGTGTGTTTCACCAGGCCTTGGTATTCACTAAACGAAACAAAATCCAGAGAGTTAAAAATTTCAAAAGAATCTGGCTGGGGCCTCATTTCATGGTTCAGGATCTCTCTTTTGTGTTCTTACTATGGGAAGAAGCAAGATAGGAAACAGTTTTATGTGATAACCAGATGCATTTCTGTTTTTAAGGAGAGATTGTCAACTTTATACAAGGAAGGATTCAATCCCTTCTTTGTCCATTTCTTAAATTTTGTTAAATTACAAAATGAAACAGTACAAAAATCTGGACTGTGTAGTGATAAGCATGAATGTTCTAAGCCTATTATCTGAACATTTTCATATAAATGTCAGTATAAATTAAGTATAAATGTATACTTAAAATATGGGTTTGCCAGAAGATAAAATTTTTGCTCTTTCTAAACTTAAGCAATGGAGCTCCAGTGGCCTAGTGGTAAGAAGTTGTGCTACAATCCCAAAGGCAAGTGGTTCATATCCCCCTGTCACCCCTGCAATTTACTGCCTCTGAAAAGCTGGAGGAGCCTCAACTATGCGTCAGGTCAACTGTGTCAGTTCCAACCCGACAGCACAAAACCACCACCACAAACTTAAGAAACCACCAAATACATTACTCAGGGCATAATTTAGTTATTGTTTTGACAACTTGGTACAAGATACAATTAAAAAAGACTGAGTCTGTTGGTTTGGAAAATATTTCTGAGAAAGTAACAAAGGGTGCTAAAAATTCTTCTATCTTCCCCTCCAGTATTTTCACATACAAACTTTTTACACAGCTGTAAATGTACATTCAGGGAGCTCTGGTGGTCTAGTGGTAAGAAGCTGTAATCCCAAAGGCACCCAGCTGGAATCTATAACCTGCTCCCCAGGAGAAGGAACAACAACAACAAATATATGTTACATACAATCATAATCCTTTTAGAACCTATTATATAAAAAACCCCAAAACTCCTATTCCTCTGTCATCCAGTTGGTTCCAGGGTTTCTGAGGATGTATTTTTGACATGAGGAAACACCCATCTTACTCCCTTGGAGCAGCTATAAATTCAAATTTGCCAATCTTTCCGTTAGCAGCTCACCATGCACACCACCAGCCATAATTGAACACTGTTGTTGTGTGCTGTTGAGTTGGAACCGACCCATAGCTGACCTTCCAGCGGGTTTTCAGAGGCACAGAGGAGTTTGCCCATCCTTCTCCAGCAACATTAAGATTTTGTAATTATCAGCTAATTACTTTCCAAAAGGGCTGAATATTCTTACCAGTAAAAAATGAGAACGTTTCACAGTAGCTTCTTAAGCAGTAATTATAAAAAATATAGCTCACTGCTATTTTAGTTTATAATTATTTAAGAATGGTGTTCCATGTTTCTGTACAAGTTAGACTATTTCATTACATACACTTAATTTTTTTCTGTGTACACAAATGTTTATTGTTAAAAATTCAAACATAATATAATGCTAAAAATCTCTCTACCTCCCAGAGTAAACTCCCACAAACTTTTCTTCTATACATTGGTGAGGTGTTATACATTTTGCAAAAAATTTCTAGGTTATGGCTTTTCTTTTTTAAAAAAATTAATGTAAGTACATATTCACGCCAATCTTACAGGTAAAAATACCTCATCTTGTTACATCTACATTTTCAAATCCTTATTTGATCACGTATCCATTTTAAATTAAGATTTACCTCAAATTTTAGGTTTTTTGCTTTTGAGGCTCTTAGGATCTCACTCCTCTATCTAGCAGATATATAATAATTAATAGCAAAGTTCAGCTTATATAGTTCTATATGATGAAGCAAAAAGTCAAGCACGCAGAAAACCAACATTTCAGCTCTGACAAAGAGCATGCTCCCCTACAAGAAATTTCTTCTGGAACAAAACATTTTTGTTCAAGAAGATGTTTCATTATCAGGTAGTTGGACATTAATTGTTAAGTTGTTGTCTTGCTTTTTCCCAGAGTTTGGATTCCGTGACTCATAACTGATATTTAGATAATATTATTATGCTATAAGCACAATTATTCTACAGACTGGGATCCAAATGGGGGCGGTGGGCAGTCCTTGCCAAAATTAAGAATTTCGGAAAATCCTGTGCACACACTCATAGCCCTGGGCGCGCCTGGAGGCTTCGAGAAGAGGAGGACCTGGCGGAGCCAAAGGCGTCACGAGTGAAAGAACATAAAGCCCCTTTCCCTTAGGGAACGCTGTCGCCTTTCCAACTCAAACATCTCCTTCTGGGATCAGCAAGCCCAGCTTCCCTCGTGAGTGTGTGGATCAAGAGGGCAAACTCTCGTCTCCCTGGGCTCAAAACTCTTAAAGCCTTTTTCAGTCCCCGCTACCAGCCTCCAGAATACCACCCACAGGAGACACAGAGCCAGGGAGGGAGGAGAATCCTGGGCAAATGTGGTTAAAGAAGATGGGCTCCTGTGCAAACACCGGAACAAAGACGCAGGGCTGCGGAGGTCGTGGGGCTGCGGTTCCCCTCCCTGGAGGCTGGCGGCCGCACACTCGGACTCGACGCCCGCTCCTGGCCTTCTGAGCCCTGCGCGCTCCGGGCAGCGGCCGCACGTTCCCGCCATGTCAGTGACCAGGGGCCGTGAGCTGGCCGCCCTGAGCGCCCCGCGAGCGCGGACTGCACGCCGGAGCCGCCGGACGCCACACTCACAAGGTGTCCAGCAGGAGCCTGGCTGCATCCTCGCAGCTCAGCCGCTGCCGCTTCTGGAACGTCTCCCAGCGCTCCCTCTGGTCGCCCAGGTCCAGCGCGGTAACCGAGGACGTCGGGGTAGCCGGGGTCGGTGGCGGTGGCTGCGGGAGCGGTACAGGATCCGGCGGCGGCAGCGGATCTCCGGGGCCCGCTTCCAGGGCCCGCGGCGACAAGTGCCTTGGCTGCCGCTTTGTGGACGCCTGCCGACCGACCGCGCGCCCCGAAGCTCGGGACTGGTCCAGAGAACGCCGCGCGCGTCCGGCACCGGCACTCGAGGCGGTGGACGACACTGAGGCTGCGGGCCGCCTCTGCCCGCAAGCCTTCCCAGTCTTCCCCGCCACGCCACTCCGCGACCGCCGCATGGCTCCTGCCGCGCGCTCCTGCCGCCAGCGAACAGGCCCATGCGCGCACCTGTCGCCAGGACACAGGCCGCACGCTCCCGCCACGGGCTCACAGGCACCACCCCACCACGCGCACCCGCCACCAGCACACGCCCGCCGCGCGCTCCCGCCGTGCCTGCCCTCCGCCCGCTGGGGGGCGCTGCACCGAAATCTCGCGTTCGCGCTTGGCTACTGGCCGCAAGACCTTCAGGGCCGCCACCTGCCTGTCGGGCTCCAAGCCACTAGAGAGCTCTAGGCGCTCAGCACCCTCCTAGACTCCGCGCGGGCCTGGCCCTTGGGGTCCACCCTCAGCCTCATCCCAGGGAGCAGCCTGAGGCAATTTCCGCTTCTTGATGCATCCACCTGCTGGATAAAGGGCAGCAGAAAGCATACTTCATAAACTTGCTGTCTCTTGCCAGAATATAAACTAAGGCCTTGGAAATATCTATAATCAACATTTCATTTGCTTTAATAAAAAGAATACGCTAACTTTGTACCAGATTCCATTTATTAAGATTTCACTGAGCACAGCATTAGAGTTTACAGACAAAAGAACAAGAATCACTTATGCATTTTAAATATTTTCTGAGTATCTTCTATCTTATTTGTAGCTGTAAAAAAATTACTTTTTACGTTGTATCCTATTTTAATTTCGTCTTTATTGGATCCTTATTTTATTGTTAATGCATATTTCACTTGCTGTTATTTTTTGAATAATGAAAATATTAATGACTGTCATGCTACAAATATAGTCGTTAAAATATTAATAACCTCAATTTAAAAACCATCTTAAAAACAAATTTGAGACCTTGAACACTAACAAATGAAGATCAGATGAGCTGTGGGAGGATATCCAGAATAATATCCAGGAAGAATGAAAAAAAAGGTAATTATAAAGACAGAAAAAGAAGAAAAGACCATGGAAAAACTCTTAATATTGCACTAAAGCACCCGTAGCAGACAGAAGAAATCAAGAAGTTAAGGAACTAAATAGAATATTTCAAAGGGCAGCTCTGGAAGACAAAGCAAGGTATAATTAAATGTGCAAAGAGCTGGATTTGAAAAATCAAAAGGGACAAACTCGCTTAGCATTTCTAAGCTGAAGGAATTGAAGAATAAATTCAAGTTGCAAAATTTAAGGATGCTATGGACAGAATGTTGAATGATCCAGGAAGCATTAAAAGAAGATGGAAGAAGTACACAGAGTCATGTTGTTGTTGTTGTTGTCGTTGTCGTTAAGTGCTGTATAGCGACCCTATGAAGGAGAGTCCTCAGCGCTTGGGTGTCTGTCATCCTCTCTCCAGGTTCATAGGGTTTCTGGAGGCAAGCTATTACGGAAGTGATGCCACTCCTCCTTCCAAACTTGATTTAATCGAGGAGCTCCACCCCACTCTCTGTCCGCATTGGGTAGCCAGCCATTAATGCATTCGACACATCAGTGTCACAGTGTTCAGCCTCACAGCAACCACAAGTGACCGCTGTATGGCAACTTGTACACCAGGGCTATACGCAGAGTCATTATATCATAAAGAAATTCTTGACATAGAAGAAATTTGTGAAACAGCGTATAATCAGGAGGTAATGGTGATAAAGGAAGAAGTGCAAGCGCTCTGAAGGAATTGACAAAACATAAGGCTCCAGGAATTGATGGAATTGACGTGACTTATCTCAACAGACAGATGCTGTCCTGGATGCGCTCACCAGGTTATGCCAAGAAATCTAGAGGTCAACTACCTGGTCAACTGGCTGGAAGAGATCCATATTTATTCTCATTCCCAAAAAAGGTGATCTCACAGAGTGTGGAAAATATCGAACAATTATCACTAATATTACATGCAAGCAAGATCCTCTGAAGATTATTTAAAATACTACAAAATGATTGGAACAGCACATCAACAAAGAACTGCCAGATGTGCAAGTGGGGTTTCAAAGAGGCCATGACACTAGGGATATTATAGCTGATATCAGACCGATGTCTTTCTGTGTTTCATTGACTATGCAAAGGCATTTGACTGTGTCAACAAAATGTGGCTTATCTTGAAAAGAATGGGAATCTCAGAACATTCAATTGTGTTTTTGTGAAAACTATACTTTGACCAGGAAGCCATCCTCAGAACAGAGGAGGGAAACACTGCATGATTCAAAATCAAAAAAGGTGTACATAATGAATGCATCCTATCTCTATACATTTTCAATCTATATGCAGAACAGATCATCCAGGAGGCTGGACTTCATGAGGAGGAATGTGGCATCAGGGTTGGAGGAAGATTCATCAATCTGCGTTATGCAGATTGCTTGCTAAAACTGAGGAGGACATGAAGCATTTGCTGCAGAAGGTCAAGGACTCAACACCAAGAAGACAGAATCTCTATTTTCATTTATTAGATGTATCTCTTGTAGACAACTTATTGATGGGCTTTGGTTTTTTTTATACATTCTCTTGATTTTTTTCTTGATTGGTGCTTTTAGTCCATTCACATTAAGTGTGATTATTGACAGGTCAGATTATATCATTGCCATTTTGCGGTGTATCTTTTTTTGTTATTTCTTTTTTTAAAAAAAATTCATTATTTTTTGTGTACCATCAGATCAGATCTGACTGGTACAGGAGGACATTGTTCCTCCTTCTCTAGCAGAGCATCTGGTGGATTTGAACTGTGCACCTGTGAGCTTGCAGTTGCAGCTTCTTGCCACTAGGCCACAAAAGCTTGCATTTTTGTTATTTCTTGTTACTGTGTTCCATCCACTTTCCTTTGAAGTCTCTGTGTGAAGGACTTCCCTTAAAAGTTCTTGTAGGTTTGATCTTGTTTTCACAAATTACTTGAGTTCTTTCTTTTCTGCAAAGTATGTGATTTCTCCATATTTGATGGAGAGCTTTGCTGAATACAGGATCCTAGGGTGACAATGATTTTCTTTCAACTTTCTGTATATATCATCCCATTGTCTTCTTGCTCACATGAGTTCTGCTGAAAAATCAGGACTTAATCTGATTGCATTTCCTTTGTTTTTCTCTTGCTGATTTCAGTGTTCTATCCTTATCTTTTATTATGGGAAATTTGCATTGATGTTTTCCTTTATGATGTAGTCTATTTAGTGTTTACTGAGCTTCCTGAATGTGGATTTCCTCATTCTTCATAATACCTGGGAAGTTTTAGTCTATTACAACTTCCAAAATTTTCTCAGTGACTTCTCTATACCTCTAATCTTCTGGAATTCCAATCATATGTATATTGTTCCTTTTGATGTCATCCCATATGGCTCTAAGGTTTTCTTCATTTTCCTTATGTCTCATCTCTGATTTTTCTTCTAGTGTTTCTGTTGAGGTTCTTCTCTTCCAGCTCACTGACTCCCTGCTCTGCCTCTTCTGCTTTTTTTTCCCTTCAAGCATGTTGGACACTTCTGCCATTTCAGTATTAATGTTCTGGATTTCATTTTCATGCCTTTCCGTTATTTTTAGTACTGTATTGGCAATATCTCTATCTTGTCATGATATTTTAAGTTCTTATACCTCTTCATCTATCTATCTTCATCAAGTTCTTCCTCATCAATATACTTCTTCTGGCTCCATGTCTCTGTATTTATTCCCATTCCAAAAAAAAAGGTGACCGGACAGTGTGGAAATTATCAAACAATATCACTGATATCACGTGCAAGCAAGATTCTGCTGAAAATTATCTAAAAACAACAGAGAACGTCCAGATGCACAGGCTGGGTTTAGGAGAGGCTATGGTACTAGTGTTATAACACTGCTAGTGTTATATGGATCTTGGTTGAATGCAGAGAGTACGAGAGGAATGTTTTATTGACTATGGAAAGGCATTTGACTGTGTGGATCACAACAAGCTGTGACTGACTCTGAGAAGAAAGGGAATCCCAGAGCATTTGATTGTGCTTATATAAAACCTATACTTGGACCAGGAGGCAGTCATCAGAACAGAGCAAAGAGACACTACATGGTTCAAAATTGAGAAGGGTCTCCACCAGGGATGTATTTTGTCTCTATACCTTTTCAATCTGTCTGCAGAACAGATTATCCAGGACACTGGACCTTATGAGGAGGCATGTGTCATCATGATTGGAGGAAGATTCATCAACAACCTGCGTTATGCAGATGACACAACCTGCTTACTGAAACTGAGGAGGAGCTGAAGTGTTTTCTGTAGAAGGTCAAAGACTGCAGCCTTCAATATGGATTGAAGCTCAACATCAAGAAAACCAAGATTCTCACCATTTGGCCAATTGACAGCATTATGATAGATGGTGAAGAGATTGAAATTGTTAACAGCTTTAGTTTGCATGGCTACACAATCAACACTCTTGCTATTAGCAACCAGGAAATCAAAAGACTGATTGCATTGGGAAAGTCAGCTGTCAGGGACCTCTCCAGGATATTGAAGAGCAACAATGTCAGTCTGAAGACTAAGATGTGCCTGGCCCAGGCCATGATCTTTGTAATTGCTTGCTATGCATCAGAGAGCTGCACAATGACTAGAGATGATAGAAAGAGAATCGATGCCTTTGAGCTGGGGTGCTGGATAAGAGTGTTGAATATATCATGGACTCCAAGGAGAACAAATAAATTCTTCCTAGAGAGGGTGAAGCCAGGCTTCTCTTGGAAAACAATGATTCTGAGGCCTCATCTGACATACTTTGGGCATGTTTCAAGGAAGGATTAGTCCCTTGGAGAGGAATATCACACTTGGAAGGATGGAGTGAGGGAGAAAGAGAGTGACACCATCGATGAGATGGATTGATTCAGTGACTGGGGTAATGAGGGTGTGTCAGAGACACAGTTGGCACAGGGTGCAGGTTTCAGGACTGTTTTACAAAGGGTCATTATGAGTCACAAGCAACTCAACAGCGCATAACAACAACAAAAACAAGAAGTCTCAGGAGCATTTGCTTTCTTAGTGGTTTCCATTATTTCTTCCATCATTTGCACCTTCTTCCATAGCTGTTCAAATAATTCTTCATAAATATAT